CCAGTCTGGGGGCGACAGAGTGAGAATCCAACTCAAAAAAAAAAAAAAAAATTAGAACAATATTCTTAATGACAGCAGCATTAGATGTAAAATATAATTATTTGCCCATGCTGCATAATAGGCATGAATTTTCTGTATCATGCGCATGTATTATAACAAAATCACTGTTCCCTCTTGAATACATAATACATTTTACCTTCTTGCTATGCTGTTCAGAATGTTTATGCAATTAATTGAAAAAAAAAATTCCTACTACACAAGTTGTACACAATTTGGGGAAGTAACACCAAATGCAAACATTCAATCAAAAGTCAACAGATAGACTGGGTGCGGTGGCTCACTCCTGTAATTCCAGCATATTGGGAGGCCAAGATGAGAGGATCATTTGAGGCCAGAAGTTTGAGACCAGCCTGGATAACATAGTGAGACTCATGTCTCCACAAAAATGCTAAGAATATTAGCCCACATGGTGATGCAGGCCCATAGTCTTAACTACTCTGGAGGCTAATGTGGGAGAATCGCTTGAGCCCGGAAATTTGAGGCTGCAGTGAACCATGATTGTGCCACTGTAGTCCAACCTGGGCTGCAGAGGGAGACCCTGTCTCTGAGAAAGGAAAAAAAGAAAGAAAAGTCAACAGAGAAAGCTTCATGATAAAATGAAAAGCATGGCATATTTAGAACATGCTAATATTAGAATTGACAAAGGGATAATAATTCTAATTTTCAAGCAGGAGTAATTTATCTGTTGTTTTTAAAGCCTTTTTCTTTAAATATATTTTTATCAATTTTTAAAATTTGCATTTCTGGAATCAATGATCAATCTACCTAGATAGTTGACTCTGCTTAAAATATTGATTCAAAAATTGTCAGGAATTTTTTTTTTCCAGTCATTTGTCATCTCTTATTCCTAATAATTGCTTCCATAGATATATTTTCCCTGTTTTTAAGTAACTTCAATTTTCTTTTCCTCATTTATTTAAGGAGAAATTTGTATTCAAATGTATAATTTTAAAAAATCAAACATATATTCAAAAGTAGTTTATTATTTTCATCAATTTGAATGTACTGACTAGGCCTAATATTTAAAATATTTAGCAAAATACTTGTTAACTAGATTAATTTGAAAACCATTCATTTGGTATTGAGACTTTGGAATACTATGTCTAACAAAATAGCACTTTAAAATATCTGAAATTACATTTTCCTTAGATCTCAAGTTAAGTTCTTTCAAAATTTTTCAAAATATACATGCCAAGGCTACAAGATTAGTTTTGTTATTGTCCTAAAATTATTATGTATATAATAAAAAATTATGCACTTTAGAACAGTTAAAATTTTTATTTAAAAAATTTGTTTTCAGGTATTTTTCTCTTTTCTAAAGCAACAAAACTAAACAAAAATTTACCCAGAAACCTTTCAAATCCCCAGGCTTGATTTTGAAAATACCCAGAGTTAAAAACTATAAAATTTTCCTATGAGTTCCTAGAAGAAACTTCAAACTTCTTTATTCTCAGAAAAGTGAAAAGAATGAGTCCTTTCAAAATACTGTTTAACACTTGATATATTTCTCTAAGACAGTATAATCACCCCTGCAATGAACAGCTTTTACAACCCAGAGTAATGATGAATTGAGTTATAAAATAAAATTATCAGAGTAAAATAGACAGTCATTTGATGTTACATTATTGTGACTATTTTTCATTATAACAAGGAATCTTTATGTACCAAGCCTTAGTTTTATTTGTTCCATCTTTTTTTTTTTTTATTTGAGTGGAGTCTCACTCGGTCGCCCAGACTGGAGTGCAGTGGCTGCTCCCGGCTACCGCAGCCTCACCTGCTGGGCTCCGGCGATCCTTCCGCCTCAGCCTTCCAAGTAGCCGGAACTACAGGCATGTGCTACCACGCCCGGCTGATTTTTATTTATTG